GATGTTAGTTACAGAGGAAATTTGCTTATTCTGCAAGTACAATTTGTCCTCATGCTTCATTGTAAATTACAAAGATTATTATTATTTTTAAAATCCTGATTAGTTAAACAAGTGATAATTGGCTAACTTCACACATCATACTCAGGTATAACCACAAAAATCTTGGGTGCAATGCCCAGAATTCCTCTACTACCATTTGAATTTTAGATGACAGAATAGGGTATTATTAAATAAATGGGGAGCAATAATGCTAACAGTATTTAATCAGTTTAATAGTTGGAGTCACATTTATGTTAATGTGAAGCCAAGCAAAGTCTAAAGGTCTTCCTTGTAGCAGGCCTATGAGGAGGTTTAAGCTGAGACCCAGTGGCTGATTATCCAATTAGAGCTTCACAACTGAGCAAGGACTGGAACACTGAGTTAGACACACTTTAGAGGTTCTGGGACTTCAACTCCCAAAATTCCCAACTCAGATGGCCAACATGAATTCTGGAAGACGTAGTCCCAACATTTCTGCTTGGCACCAAAAGATAATGAGAAGATCATCTGATGTACTACACCATATTGAAAAGGTTGTAAGCAGTAGGGCGAGAGCAGTAGGGTGGAAAAATAATAGTATAAAAAGGAAAAACAGACTACAAAGAAGAAGGGAGGCAAGCTTCTGGTTCTCGGAGATGATATTATTTGAAGTATGCAATTTTTTTCTGATGTCAAAATATTCCAACCTCAGAACATCCATTCTATCCTTGAAACAGGTCATTCTGAGTACACTGGAAGAGTTCCAGTTGTAAAAACAGTTGTTCCAACCTCCGTTCTGAAATCAGAATAGCTCATTTCAAGGCCAGATCACTTCTGCTACATTCCAAGTGATCCATTTCAAGTTTGGAACACTTCTACCTTGAAACATGTTGCATACCTTTAAACGTGATTGAATTTCGATCTCTGATCACAGAAGGTACCAAATATGCTCAATGTGCGAGAAAGAATGCTTTGGTGATCTAAGTCCAACCGCAAGACAAAACAGTAAAGAACTGTGTGGCTAGGGCTTACTTCTAGAGCTAAGCAAGAACAGGACAAACAGAGCCCCTTGAAATAATCCTGATGGATATAAAAATCCTAAAAAGTTTTAAAGCACACAAATAATTAGAATCAAGCTGGGAGGTAGGGGAAGCAAACCAAATCAGATAAGATTCAGGGTAAAACTGTGGAGTCCTCGGGTTTCCTTGGCAGCAAACCCCATTCCATTCGAGCACTGAAGATGTTACCTAGCCGGGTAACGAAATGTTTGCACGAAAAGAACCAAGCTCAGAGAACCCCGAGGACTCCACAGTTCAACCCTGAGCTACACATGTTCGCTTCTATTGGTATTCAGGGTAAAAGCCTGCTAAAATAAAATAGTGTTGATTCTGTAGAGGGCTCTCAGGGGCAGAGAATTCCAATGGCTGAATGCCAACGTTGGAGAAAGCCCTACTGGAAATGGTAAAATTGCCATTTTCTCCTGGTTTCAACTCTTGCCCAGGGAAAAGTCTCCAAGGGAAAGACAAATCCAACAAAAAGCGTCTATCGCTGCAAGTTGTTCTCATTTTGGTTACCAGCATCCAGCCTGTGATGGAAAGACAATTTGCTCACATTCTCCCTTTTTCCATTGTCATTCATTTTGTGCTATTAGTGACAGCAGGTCTTTCTAACACTGGCAAGTACCTAACATTTTTGAGTTCTGTGCACAAGAGTAGAACCAGAGCATTCATTCTGCTACCATAGCCCTCTCTGTTCTCTCTTTGGAAAATGCCTGAAATACCCACCACCATCAACTAAGCTTTGCAAGAAACTTTTCTGTGGAACAAAGATGCAGTTGGCCTCCAGTGAACACACTGATCAAGGTACATGTATGACCACTATTCATACATGCAGAGCTATTTCACAATGGATGAGTCCCTTTAGGATTAGTGAATGATGTGTTATATATTCATCTGTCAGAAGAGACTTTGCCCATAAAGACCAGGTGCAAACTTTTGGCTTTTAAACAGGCAAAATATTATTGTAGAAAAAGGGGGATGAAATGCTTTCTGTGGGGCACAGTAGTGGCAACTGGTAAGCTCAGGTGGTGGTTTTTGGGGTGAGAAAAAGGGGTTGATGAGTATCACATGTCTTCAAGTCACCATGGTTGAAAAACACTGGTCTAGACAAACACAAACTTTCTAGGGATGAAAATAGGGCTTCCTTGGGGACTCCAGTTAGAAGTCAGTGATTATGGAACAATTGGACCTCCATCATGGCACTTAGACTTTGGAACTTTCTGCCCCCTAAGATACAGAAAGGAAAGAAAAAAAGCAAAATTTACTGCCTCTCAGTTTAATGAAGGCCAGTTTGAACTTTCTGAATCTATCTAACTGCTGGAATATACTTGCAGGCTGATATCTGCATTGGCCTAAATGTGGTGATGCACTTTTTAGCTCAACCCATTTGTACCAAAGTGAGAAATGTGTGTTAGGTGAGCTTATATAGTATGTTATATTAGGGGAAACAGCTCTTCCCAAAAGTGTACTCTAAGACCCAAAATACCTATATTAAGAGAAATTGACAGCAAAAATGCTTATAGATTTTTGTGCTAATCTTTTAATGCAAACTGGTGCTGAAACAGTAGGAAAAAAAGGTAAGGTTGGGGGGAAATGAGAAATCAAATTCAATCAGATTTGATTCACTATGCTTTGCTGAATAAATCACAAACAGCTGGGTTCACACCATGCACTAAGCCAAAAGCCTAACAAAGTGTTTTATGGTTTAGGGCGATGCATGAACCCAAAATGCCTTGTTTTTCTTTGGGAAGCCAGTTTGGTCTAGTGGTGAAGGCACCAGGCTAGAAACCAGGAGACGGTGAGTTCTAGTCCCACCTTGGGCATGAAAGCCGGTGATGACTTTGAGCCAGTCCCTCTCTCTCAGCCCCCAACGTCAGGCTCAGGTGACATGCCAGTCAGTCAATTCCTGTCACAACCAACAGATCAACATTTGGTTGATCTGAAAAAAAAGTGGACCCTGCAACCGCAGGAAAAATTCCAGGAAGAAAGAAAAAATCATAGGAAGTAGGAATAGAGCACGTTGGGCAGAAAAAAATGTCTCCCCAACTCAGTATTGTCCATCAGAGCAGTGCAGTGCTTCGATTTAATCTCCCAATGGTGCTTCCCCATGTGCCAATACCCTTTCAGAATTGAATTGGAGCATTGCACAGCCCTATTGTCTAATCAGACTGGTCTCCCTGCATTAGGTGAAGAGCTCTTCCATCTTTCACTCACTGATTTGTATCTCGAATTTCTGCTCCTTCTACATGCAAGGCATGCCTAATTCTCACTAAACAATCGTGCTTGAGATACCAAGGCCCAAACAGTAAGCTAAGCTCACAAGAGTACAATGAAAACCAGAGCTGGACACCACTATTGGTCACACCTTTTCCTCTGCTCTTCCTTATCCTTTGGCCCCAAGGAAGGAAAAGAAAGAACTGAGATGGATTTTGGAGGACCAAACAAGGTTTCTTCACCCTAATGCAGTGTTGTCCAAACCTGGCCACTTTAAGATGAGTGGACTTCAACTCCCAGAATTCCCCAGCCAGCCATGGGAGTTGAAGTCC